GGCAGGGTGCCCTGCACTCACCACCGGCCGGTGGCCCCTCGGGGACCCACTGGGGACAGCTGGCCTCGTCCTCGCCCTGCAGACAGTCCACCTGCCCATCACACACCTGCTGCAGCGGCACCAGCTTCAGGGGCTGTTCGCAGAAGAAGTAGTGGTAGTCCAGGTAAACCTTGACTAGAGGGAAAGGGGGAGCTCAGCGCTGAGCTCGTGCTGCTGGGCAGGCTCAGGGCTTGTCCTCGGGGCTCAGCAGGATGGCGGCAAAGCCGGACCCGGCTGAGCCCCGGGTCCAGAGCTGTGTTTGCTGAGCAGTGGCTGCGCTCAGCAGCAGCAGGAGGAGCGGGGAGAGGAGAGCAGGAGCCGTACCCAGGAACCCGACTGTAACCAGGCAGGCGAGGCTGAGCACTGCTGCCAGGATTGGGATGCCGATCCGCTTGAAGGACTGCAGTGCTGTGGAGGCTTTGCGTCTTGTGCTGGGACCTGCAACGCAGAGGAGTGTGGCCCTGTGTCGCCAGGCACAGCCTGGCAGCACCTGCGCCCCCTACTCCTGTGGGCATTACCTCTGCCATTCAGCCGCTCAGAAGCTAAATCCTGCAAACCAGAGAGGAAAACCAGTCACTGAGCTGCGACCTCAGCCCAAAAGCAGCTGGTAGGTGGGAAGGGTCTGTGGCAGTGTGGTTAGCTGGCACCATGGTGATGCCCAGGCCAAGCACACAGCTGACACAGTCAGCCACCCCAGGGAGGGCAGGCCAGAGGAAGTGGAGGATCAATGAAGCCTGGGCAGGCACAGAGGCTGCTGTTTCCTTGGCTCATTTGAGGACAACTTGGAGGGAAAACGCTCAGCCTACAGCGGAGGTAGCTTTAGAGCTGCTGGGGATGGAGGTGGCAGTGGGGGGTGGCACGTCCTGGTGTGACACTGGGCTCTGCTGTCACCCAGGATCACTGGCAGTGTTGTTCCCAGGGACACCACCTGTGCAATTCCATAACTGGCTGTTAATGTTATAGAGTTACGGCCTTTAATGCACCAGAGGCTTAAGAAGTCACAGGCATTATGAAAGAGGCACTTTCTGCTGTGCCGAGAAACCCTGAGTCAAAATGCACGTGCCTGCAGGGCTGCGCCACCCAGACATGTCATGACGGGGGTTATATTCTTCGGCTGGCCCAGCGCAGGGTCAGAAACTGAGTGGCATAGCCCGAGTCCTCCCCGGCTGACTGCAGGAGCTGCTGGAGAAACCCGCCCGGCCCATGGGAACGAGCGCTCTCGCTCTCGGGGCGGGCTGTGCCGCTGCTAGGACACGCAGTAAACACAGCCCCGGTAGCCGTCCGTGCTGGAGCGAGCGGTGAACAAGGCATTGATCCCACTTGATCTCCTCAAGGATATTTTCCTGTAACAGCTTCTCGTATGAGAGATGCTCAAGAGCAGCAGGAAAGGTCCCGAGAGCCGCACTGCCCACCGTCGCTGAATGCACTGCCCCTGTCCTCGGCGGGTGGGTTGGTGCTGGGAAAAGATCCGAGCCCCTTCAGGGGGGGGGGGGGGGTCGGTTTTGTTTCTCTTGCCCTGTTTTTGCAGCCATGCTCATGCCACGCTGTTGAGTGCTGCTTCCCAAGAGCTCGAGGTTTGAAAGTGTGCTCCTGCCCTGCCGAGGCTGCGGGAAGCACCACGCGTGCTGTTCCCTGGAATGCCCTTCCAGCCCCGAGCGAGCTCTTTTCCTTTGCTGTTGCTTCTGGACTCTACCACCACAGGTAAGACAAGCTGTTTTGCAGAGTCTTCACCCCACAGGAACAGAGTAAGGAAGCCCACAGATCCAGGAGCGTGATTCAGGAGAGTCTGAGGTTTGGAAGCCTTTGCTCCTTGGGCTGTTGAGCTCCGGGAGCAGCACGGCTGTCCCTGGGCAGGAGGGGGTTACATGTGCTGTCTCAGATGAGAGCGGAGGCCCCTGTGCAGTCTCATGGCTCGGAGATCCGGGCTCTGAAGAGCAGCGGTGCAATGGGAGTGGGGATGCCGTAAGGCTGGAAAGGGGCCGTGCTGCAGCCCGTGCCTGGCAGGAGGGAGTGGCAGTGCCTTCCCTCTCCAGGTCACGCTGTTCGGGCATGTCTAGCCATGCACAAAGACTGTACCAGCAGGATTCCGCAGACAAGCGCCAAGTGAGAATTTGTGGGTTACCACACAAAGGTAGCTTGGACCGCGTCGCTCCGCGCCCCCCCCCCCCGCCAGCCAGCAAACATTGCCTTCCCATCATGGCCCTGCTGCATGGCTCCGGCTGCCCGTTTCGGCTGCTTCCCAGCCCAGGAACAAGTAGCGACCTGTGCTGGGGAGGACCGGATCCTGCCTGGTGCTGGCAGGGCTGTGGGGACATGGCTGTGCCCCAGCATGAAGCCGTTTGGCTCTTTTTGAGGAAATGCCAGAGGCCTTTCTCCAAACAGCCAGGATCAGCTGGCACCGACGCCGAGTGTGGGCAAGTCGTGGTGAGCGCCTGGCCCCTGGTTGGGCTCTGCACAGCCCCTCGGGTCTTTTTGGCTCCTGCGAGGGCACTGCAGTGCCACCAGAGGATCCCAGCTCCAGACCAGCTCCCAGGGAACACGGAGCCTGGCTGCTGGTGGCAAGGAGTCAGGGACCTTCTGGGACTGGAGGGCAGGGTGGGAAACGGAGGGTGCCTCCTGGACCTTCCATCTCAGCTGCCCCTCCCAAGCCGCTTACCTGCAGCGCCCGGTGACTGCAGGAGCCCTGGGAGTTTTGCAATGCCAGCCCGGCTTGCTCCCGAACACCACCTACGTCCTCCAGCGCAGGCAGCCGAGCGCACGTGGGGCCAGTCCTTCCTCATGCTGACCTTTTGTGTCACCGTGGGCCTGGGCTGGGCATGACCCTGATAATGGGATCCTAACGGTTCCCTGCAGGAACGGTCCCAGGGCTCCAGCCACAACGGCTCCCGCAGACTCTGCGGCATGGCCGGGGGACCGCGGGCTTGCACAGCCGCCCCTGCCTGCCCACAGGCTGCCCATACTCGTGCTATCACGTCAGCTGGCATCGGGCTCCTTTCTGGCAGCCCTGTGCAGGTCTGCTGTGGATGCAGGTGGAGGGATGATGCTGTGGTGCTGGCTACCTTCCCACCTACAGAAGGTATTGACCGTTATTGATTTTTATTTTGTTTGGGTCTGTGAACCTCCTCCATTTTGAACAGATACAGATCTTAGAGCTGCCTCTCCGTGGCTGTCCATTTGCTCTCAAAACCACAGTACAAGCAAGAGCTGCACTGGTTAAATCCAAAGCAAGGCAAGAGCTGTGCCAGCTCCTCCGTGGAGTGGAAGCACTTGTTTTCCTGGAGAATGCAAGGCTACCGTAACTAATTGAGCTCCCTTGTTGTATTCTCTGGAAGCACGTTAATGCCACTATGGCCAGTCCGCACTCCAGCTGTGCAAGTGCCAGCCCACGAGCCGTGGCCTCCTGATGAGCTTCTGCTCCTGTGCCACCTGAGCAGCCTGGGGTGCAGCCGGACTCTCGCCATTCGCGCTCCCCAGTGTATGGCTGAAGGGTGCTGCAGTGCACCGTGCAGCTGTGCCGGTGCTCCTGGACGAAGGAAGGTGGGATGTTCCTGTGCAAACCCCAGCTTCCAAGGGTGCAGGGTGATGGGATCCAGAGCTAGCTCCTGGGCTGCAGGGGCCTTAACCCAAGAGCGTGTGTAGCCGTTGCCCTTGTGCAGAGGGGCGAGTTCCTCACCCTGGAGGGGATGGTGTCCCAGTGCGTCACTGGTGCCAGGTCTTACGATGCCCAGTGAACTGGGCTGTACGTGGCTGCCCTCTGTTAAGGAAGCCGCCTCCTCCTAGGGAGGGACTGCATGCCAGCCTGGGGTTTGGTGGCCATGGCTTTTCTTGCAAAAGGCACTGCAGGGAGCTGAGCTGAGCAGGGGGACGGGCAGTCCTGCAGTGGGAGCTGCACCAGGGGCAGGGGTGCTGGGATTTTGCCCAGGCATTGCCTGGGAACTGATCCCTTCTCAAAGGATAAGACAGTCCAGAAGGGCACGTTCCCCTTGGTGAGCAGACTTGAGACGCACTGTCTTACCTGTCTGCTTCCCGGACTGGGAGAGGGCCAAGGCAAGCCACAGAGAAATGCGGGAGCGAGAGCTCGTGGCGATAGCCAAGTGCTGTATTCAACAGCCGTGGTGGGGTGTTGAGAGATGGGTGAAATCGCTCCCTGCCTGGACGCTGCAGGGGGCCAGGGAGCAGCAGCTCTTTTGAGCCTGGACTGCCTCATTGCCAGCGAACCACTCCTGGCAGACCTGGGCTGCGAGCGCAGCCAGCTGTGGGATATCGGGATGCCAGCTGCCCACTCCTGGGGCGAGGGGCTGGGGCTGATGTGCAGGGAGGAGGCAGAGCGGTGGGTGAAGCTATCGGTAACTTACCATGTTCATCCAGCTCTGTCTGACGTGGTCTTCTGCCTGCAGGAACCTGGCAAATATCCTCCGGGCTGGGACACGGTGAGAGGGGGTGCCCAGGGAGCCCAGGCTGGCGATGCTCCCACCACCCCTGTGCCTGCGCCACTCTGCCCGTGCTGTGCTAACACTGGGGCAGGACTGCCCAAGCGCTCCTTAAAACCCACAAGAGGAGTTGTGAAACAGGAATTTTGATTTGTATTGTAATATAACACCGGTCTATCAGCAGCACCATCACCTGCAATAATCTCCTGAGCATCTCCCACTGGAGGGTGACTCACACGCAGAGCTGCTGTCACAAAATAGCTTATCAGGAGTGAACCGACTGACGGAGCAAGATTTTTTTCCTGCTCCTCTCCAGATGATAAGAGGAACCACAGCCATCCCGCTCTTTGTCCGTCTCTTCCGCGTTGCACCGGCTTGTTTTCAAACGGAGGTTTTAGTAGGTGGAGGAGGAAAGGAGGAGAGTTTACGCATGAGGTTACCAGGCCATCATATGCTCCTGTCTCCCGGGTCACTCGGTCTGTGTGTCCTTGCGCAGCCCCAGGCTGCGGTGGGCAGGTGCTCCTGGCAGCACCAGAGTGGCATTAAAAGGAATGGGAGTGGGCACTGGTGGCAGATTACCTCTGGGGTTGCTATGCAGGCTGGAGGGCACAGGCAGCGCTGGCAGTGGCTCAGCAGGCGTGGGCAGGTGTCCGGCTGTGCGGGAGTAGCTGGTGTCCTGGGCAGGCTGGACGGAGTCATCACTTTCCGGTGGGAGCAGGGTGCCAACCCCCTGCCTAGAGATCGCAACAGCAGGTGTCCTGGCAAGCTGGGCAGGGCAGAGGTTTGAGCGTGGCCCCTCCAGGCTCCCTCACCTGCGCTCTGGGACAAACCTCCGTCTTTCTCCCTGGCTTTTGTCCCTGCTGTAGTACAGCACCACTGTGGCAATGCTGACTGCCAGTTCCACCAGCGGGATGCTACTGGGCTGTTAATGGAGATGTGCAGGGGCCCGCTGCCCATGCGGGTGTGCTGGGTTCGGCGCTGAGGCTGGCTCTTGCAAGTGGGGGATCACAGTGCAAACTCAAGGGTGGCCATGCCCTTCTCTTGCAAGCCCTTGTCCCTTTGCAGAGCAGCTGCCCTGGGTTGGGTGAGCTGATTGATGTTGCACAAGATGGGGCTGGCAGTGGTGAGTGAGGAGAGGGGCTCTTACGGCCCCCCAGCCCTGTTTTGGGAAGTGCTGTGCCTGTAGGCAGATGCTGAGGCTGCTGGAGGAGCTGTGTGTGTCCCTGACGCAAAGCTG